GATTAAAGACCTAATGTGAGACCTGAAACCATAAAAATCCTCAAAGAAAACATAGGCAGTAATCTTCTGGACATCAGCCTGAGCAACATATTTACAAATATGTCTCCTTAGGCAAGGAAAACAAAAGCAAAAATTCTACTGGGGCTACAACAAAAGACAAAGCTTTTGCACAGCAAAGGAAACCATCAACAAAAAAAAAGGCAGCTTACTGAATGGAAGAAGATATCTGCAAATGTTGTATCTGATGAGGCATTAATATCTAAAATATATAAAGAATTTATACAACTTATCACCAAAAAAAATCCCCCAAAAATCTAATAAAAAATGGGCAGAGGGGGGCGCCTGGGTGGCTCAGTTGGTTAAGTGTCCAGCTCTTGATTTCAGCTCAGGTCATGATCTCAAGAGTCATGAGATTGAGCCCTATGTTGGGCTCTACACTGGAGCCTGCTTAAGATACTCCCTCTTCCTCTGCCTTACTTCCCCCCACTGCAAGCACATGCCCATGCTCTCTCTTAAAAAAAAAAAAAAAGAGGAACTGAATAGATATTTTTCCAAAGAAGACATTCAGATGCCCAACAGACACATGAAAAGATTCTCAACATCACTAATCATCAGGGAAATGCACATCAAAACCACAAGGTCACCTCACACCTGTAAGAATGATTAATATAAAAAAAGATAATAAAAAACAAGCATTGACAAGGATGTGGAAAAAAGGGAACCCTTATGTACTGTTCATGGGACATAAATGATGCAGCCACTATGAAAAACAGTATGGAAGTTCCTCAAAAATTTAAAAATAGACCTATCATATGGTCTAGTAATTCCACTACTGGATATTAACCCAAAGAAAATGAAAAAACTGATTCAAAAAGATAAATGCAACCCTATGTTTACGGCATTACTTACAATAGCCAAGATATGGAAGCAACCCACGTATCTATCAATATATGAATGGATAAAGATGTAGTATTAAAAAAAAAAAGATGTGGTATACACACACACACACACACACACACACACACCCCCAATGGAATATTACATAAATCTTACCATTTATAACAACATGGATGGACCTAAAGGGTATTATGCTAAGTGAAATAAGTCAGATGGAAAAAAAACAAATACCATATGATTTCACTTACATGTGGAATCTGAAAAAACAAAACAAACAAAACCCCAGACTCTTAAATACAGAGAACAACTTGTAGTTGCCAAAGGGGAAGTGAATGGATGGGTGGATGACAATACAGGTGAAGGGGATTTTAAGAACTTCCAGTTACAAAATAAATAAGTCACAGAGATGAAAAGTACAGCATACAAAACATATTCAATAATATTGTAACATTGTATGGTGTCAGATGGTGACTACCACTTATTGTGGTAAGCAGTGAGTATACAGAATTGTCAAATCACTATGTTGCACACATGAAACTAATATAACACTGTATGTCAACAATACTTAAATAATTTATTTTTAATGAGAAAAAAGTTGTGGTATACATACACACACAATGGAATGTTATTCAGGCATAAAAAAATGAAATCTGCCTTTTGTGACAACATGGATGAAACTTTAAGGCATTATGCTAAGTGAAATCAGAGAAAGACAAGTACTGTAGTATTCACTCATATGTGGAATCTTAAAAAAAAAAAAAAAAAAAACTTGGGCACCTGGTAGGGGCTCCCTGCTCAGGGAAGAGTCTGCTTCTCTCTCTGCCCCTCCCCCTGTTCATTCTCGCTCTCTCTCAAATGGATAAATAAAATCTTTAAAATAAATAAAAAAAACAAAACTCATAGAAAAAGATATTGGACTTTTGGTTACCAGATGCGGAGGGTGGGGGGAGGGAGAACTGGAGTAAGTTGGGCAAAAAGTACAAACTTCCAGTTATATAATAACTAGTATGCATGTGATAGACAACACGATGACTCCTGCTAACATGGATGTATGATACGCAGAAAAGTCAAAGTTAATCCTGAGTTCTTACCACAAGAAAAAATTTTTCCCTTTTTTTCTTCTTATTGTACCTATATGAAAAGATGGCAGTTAACTGAACCCAGTGAGGTAATCATTTCACAATATATGCAAATCAAAGGGCGCCTGGGTGGCTTAGTGTTTTAAGTGTCTGCCTTCCGCTCAGGTAAGGCTCTCCCTGCTCAGTGGGGAGCCTGCTTCTCCCTCTCCCGTTGCAGCTCCCCCTGCTTGTGCGCGCTCTGTCAAATAAATAAAATCTTAAAAAAAAAAAAAATGGGGGGAGGGCACCTGGGTGGCTCAGATGGTTAAGCATCTGACTTCAGCTCAGGTCATGATCTCCAGGTCCTGGGATCGAGCCCCGCATCGGGCTTCCGGCTCAGCGGAGAGTGTGCTTTTCCCTCACCCTCTGCCTCCCCCTGCTTGTGCTCTGTCTCTATGAATAAATAAAATCTTTTTAAAAATAAATGTTAAAAAAAACCCTCACTTCATTATATGCAAATCAAGCCATCATGCTATATGCCTTAAACTTATATAATGATGTATGCCAATTCTTTCTCAATAAAAATGGTGGGAAAAAAGTTAATGCAAATAGAGGTGTAATTTTTATTCCCATCTAACTTCAGAACCCCCCCCAGGTTTCTATTCAAGGATCCCTAGGTTAAGAACCTCTACTCTCAAATGGTAGCTACACTTGTGGTGAGTTATTAGCATGAGATATACTTGTCAAAAATCACTATGTTGTACAGCTGAAACTAAACTGACATCCTATCAACTGTACTTCAATTTAAAAAAAGTTTAAAAAGGGATACCTGGGTGGCTCAGTCAGTTAAGTGTCTGCCTGCGGCTCAGGTCATGATCCCAGGGTCCTAAGATCAAACCCCATGTGGGGCCCCCTGCTCAGCGGGGAGCCTGCTTCTCCCTCTCCTTCTGCTGCTCCCCCTGCTTGTGCGCTCTCTCTCTCTCTGTCAAATAAATAAATGGAATCTTTAAGGAAAAAAAAGGTTAAACCAATTTTTAAGTAAAATAGAAATTAAGGCTGATTTTAAAAAGAAAAGAAGAAAAAACAGAAAAGGAAAAAAGCCTCTAAATTCAAAGCTTAATCCTGGGTAACCTCCTGTTCTCTAAATATACTCCCCCCGATTCCTTGGATTTAAACACCATCTATACACAGATTATGAACAAATTTATATATGTATATCCAATATTTCTCAAGAACTCCAGACTTTTAAGATTTTATTTGTCAGAGAGAGCGAGCGAGCACAAGCAGGGGGAGGGGCAGAGGGAGAAGCAGGCTCCCCACGGAGCAGGGAGCCCGATGTGGGGCTCAATCCCAGGACCCTGGGATCATGACCTGAGCTGAAGGCAGAAGCTTAACCAACTGAGCCACCCAGTGTCTCAAGAACTCCAGACTCTTAGAGCCAAATGTTCACTGACTTTCTCCACCTGGATGTCATCACCAAGATGCATAAAATGCACCTGCTGATGGTTTCCCTTGCACTAACACAAAAATCTAACTTCCATGAAAGCCTTGAATGAACTGGCTCCTCTCCAAACTTCTCATACTACTTTCCTCACCATTAACCTGCCACCCCAGTCACCACCCTCCAGCCATACAATTGCCTTTCTCTTCTCTGTATGTGGCAAGACATTTCCCAGCTCAAAAACTTTTGAGCTTTCTTTCCCCTTCCTCTACTGGAAACTCACTCCCAGTTCTTCACCAGGCTGGCCCAACCCCATCCTTCAAGCCTTGGCTCAACCATCTGGCCTTTCCTGGCCACCTACCTACCTAGAGAACTTTTCCAACCCCTACTCCCACTGTACTACTTACTTTCAATCCCATCAACCTTTTTTTTTCTTTCCTTTCCTTCAGAAGCACTTACAGCAATCTACAATTATCTTGTTTCCCTTTTTTTCTAAAGATTTTATTTATTTGCGAGAGAGAGAGAGAGAGAGAGAGAGCAGGAGAGGGAGATGCAGGCTCCCCGCTAATCAGGGGGCCAGATGTGGGGCTCAATTCCAGGACTCTGGGATCCTGACCTGAGCCGAAGGCAGACACTTTAAGGACTGAGCCACCCAGGCACCCGCTTCCTTGTTTATAGTTCATTTCCTCACTAGAAAAGTAAGTGCTGTGTTTCACTGTCCACTGCAGTATTCCCAGTGCCTGAGATAGTGTCTGGCACTTCTGAAGCCTCAATAAATGAATAAATGATAAGTGGACCTTCACTCTATCACAGAGATGTTTGTTATAAAATCGGTATGAAAGGATCCCTATCTTTATTAAACCTCTGGACACCACATCCAACAGCAACAAGCCAAACGCCAGAAATCCACAGATTTCACATTTCGACCCAACAAAAGGTAAAACATTCTAAAATAAAAGGACCATAGGCTTTTACCAAGTGGCTCTGCTGAGCAGACAAGGAAATCCAGGACACAGAACAAGGACAGTGCTTGATCCTGAAACAGTAGAGACCCAGACATTCCATTCCCGAGAAGAAAACCCAGAACATGCTTCCATTGCTTGCTGATGCGATCCCAACACAGTCAACTCTCCAGGTACTAAATTCATATTTCCAGATGCCTACTGGAGATTTCCGTCTGAGTCCCATCTGCACTTCGGATTCCTATTTCGGACTGAACTCTGTCCTTCCCCTCCCTCTTAAAGCAGCTGCTGCTCTTCGTCCTGCATTTCCCTTTCCCGAAGAAATGATACTATCATCTACCATCAGCCTAGATAGGAAAGACATCCTGACCCTCATTTCCTAAATTCAGTCGGTTACACTGCCTCCTGAACAGCTTTGGATTCATTCTCCGTTCTTCATGGCACTGCCATGACCTGACCACCCCTAACCAACCACCTGACATTAATTTAGCTATCTCCAGGTCTTCGGGAGATGGCTCTTCCCCTGGAGAAGGCAGCACCACTGCCTGAGCTGAGGACCCTGGGCTTCTCCGCGCACACCCCGCCTGGCTCACACCTCACAAAGCCGCTGGAGCGGGTCTGGTCCTCGAGCTCCCCCCGTACCTTGGCAGGGTTGGTCAAGACCTCCTTCATGTACTCAGCCACAGTGATGGGGCCAGTTGCCTTGATTTTGTATATAAGATGCCGCAGCATTGGTGTCACCTGGGTTTCTGCCGGCTCTCTCCCGGAGCTGAAGTATTTCCCTCTCCAAAGACAGGGAATGACTACGAAAAACAAGTAAAGGGGACCATGAAAACATCTTAGTATTTGCAAGTGGAATCAGCCTGAGTGCTTCCGAAGCTGCTGCGTTGACTCAAGCCCGCGCGAAGCACGGACAGCGGACTCCTGGCCTGACCGCAGCACGCCCACAAGGCGCCGGCAGGCACGCACAGTGCCCACGGCCACACAGCCACTCCGGCTCTGAGGCTGGACTCGTCTGCAGCTCAGAGCCCCTCAGGGGCCCCCAACCGAGGAGGGCGCCCCAGGCGGTTTCCCGTACATCCGGAGCTCCCGCATGGCGAACGCTTACCCGCGCGAGCCGCCGCACACAGCGGCCCCAAGCCGCCCCTCGCAAGAACGCTCATGCCGAACTTCCCACGCCGCCGCGCGCGGCCCGGGGGCGGGGAATGAAGCCATTTCCGGGAGAGGACACACCCCTGCCAGAAGTACGTCACTCAGCCAAACGGAAGGAGGCTGTGGGGCCGTTTGCGCGTGCTTTGCTGGTAATGGCGGCCCCCAAGAAGCTTTTGGAGTTCCACGCCAAGCGGCCCTGGCGCGGAGAGGAGGCGGTAGAAGATCCGGACGAGGACAACGAGGAGGATAACGATGAAGCCGAGAATGGGTTCTCTCTGGAGGAAGTATTACGGCTCGGAGGCACCAAGGTAATGGCCTCGGACTCGCGCACAAGGGAACAGAGGCGCGAGGAGTGGTCTCCCGAGTAGCCCGGCCGCCCCCGGGCGGCAGCGTGGCAGGGCGTTCTGCATCCATATCCCAGCTTCGAAATGGGCTCTTTGCGCTTCCCGCACTTCTTTCCCACAGCTTTTTACAAGAGAAGAGTTCTTTGGAATTGAACGTTTTTACGGTGTGGCCTTTCTTAGGATGTAGGTGACCCTCTCATTTCACTGATCTATAACTGGCGCTCCCTCAGGTCGGTGAAGACCGACCTTTTTGGTTCCTGACGTCGTGGCGTCAGTGTTCTGAACTCCAGTGCTGTTGGAATGTTAACTTCTATTCTCACGGAGTACACGCACATGTTTACGCTCCAGAAGCCCTCTGCTCTCGGAATTTACATCCTAATTAAGGGAAAGAATCAGTAACCAAACTTTTGAATATTGTATATCAGATGCTGAGTAGTGCCACGGAGAAGAAGAAAACAAGATAATCAGTGGGAAGGGCGTAACAGTTTTAAATGAGGTGATCGGGGAACTCATCGAGATGTTTGAGAAGAAAACTGTAGGAAAGAAAGGAGCCGCGCTGTTCTTTGAGCAACAAAAACGTCAGTGTAGCTGAGGCAGAGTGAGGTAAGGGGAGAGTAATAAGAAATGAGCTCAGAGAGGTAAGAATATAGGCCTTTCTCGGAGTTTGATGCAAAACCTTAGAAGATTTGGAGCAAATACGTGATGGAATTTAGCTTACTTTTTTAGCACATGTTTTGAGACTATCGGCGGTGGGAGAGGTAGGGGCAGGAGAAATTCAATTTACGGGGGCAGATTCACAGTTTGCCCTGTACTTGTGTTGTATTTAATTTTTGAATAGGTAGTATTTCACGTGCTACAAAAAGTTATTTTAAAAAGGAGGAGTACTCGGTGAAAAGTTTTCTTTCCCGCTTTTATCTCTAACCATGCGATTACTAACCAAAGCAAGTATCTTTATGTGTCTTTTATATCTTCTAAACACACACGTTATTTTTTACACAAAAGGTAATATACTGTATAATATTTGTGCATATTTTTTCTTGTCTTATAGATTCTTCCATATCATTATACAAAGTTGGGTCATTGGTTTTATGCCTGCATAAATCATAGTTTTAATCTAACCAGCCATTTATTGTGGATGTTGGGGTTGTCAATCTTTTGCTATTTTAAATAATGCTTCAGTAAATAACTTGAAAAGAGATCTTTTCCCACATTTGTGAACATGTATGTAATCTAAATTGATAGAAATGGAACTGCTGGATCAAAGGATGTGTGTCTTGTATTTTGATTTGAAGGTAGCAAGTTGCCCTCCATAGAGGTTGTGCTAGTTTACATTTCCATTAGTCATGTAGGAAAGTGCCTTTTCCTCCTACCATCTCCCCAACCCCACCCGTCACAATTTTATCTTTCTCATCTGACAGAAAATGGATGCATCATGGTGGTTTTAATTTGGATTTTTCTTAATGTCAGTGAAGTTGAGCATCTTTTCACATTTTTAAAAACCACTTTCCCCTTATGAACCATTTGTTTATATCCTTTGCAGATCTTTCAGTTATCACTTCCTTAACTGATGCGTAGGAACTTTTACATTAAATATTAAGCCCAATTACTCTGATATCAGTTGCCAGTATTTTTTTTTTCCAATTTATTTGTCTTTTGACTTTTGTATGAGAGAATGATAGTTTTACCCGTCTTTGCCTTTAAGGGTCTGCATTTTACGTCATTTGGAAAGGTTTTCTCTACTCTGAAATTATTTTAATTATGGTGTGCATTCTTCTATTACAGCTTTTTTTTTCACATGTAAACCTTTGATTCATCAAGTATTGACTTTGTTGTAGGGTGGGAGCCCAGGGAGCCCAGACAATACCATGATAATTGAATTTAATTGATTTTTAAACATAATAAATTTCAAATTAACTTTGGAAGTTTTTCTAAACTTTGGATTTGTAATTTATTTTTTAACTTTCTTATGTTTTAATGCAGCAAGATTACCTTATGCTGGCTACTTTGGATGAAAATGAGGAAGTGGTGGATGGAGGCAAAAAAGGAGCAATCGATGACCTTCAACAAGGTGAATTGGAAGCATTTATTCAAAATCTTAGTTTGGCCAAGTATGCAAAAGCTTTCTTGGTTGAAGAAGATGAACCAGCTGAAAAAGAAAATACCAGCAAAAAAGAAGCAAGAGTATCTAAAGTAGATAATAAAAAGCAAAATGCAGCAGAAAGTGAAAGGACATCACTCGGTAAGGTGAAAAATAAGAAGAAGCCAGAACAACATTCTAATGAGAACAACAGTGTCACACCAAAAGTTAAGAAAGATAAACAACAGGACATCTTTGAATTTTTTGAGAGACAAACGTTGTTACTCAAGCCTGGAGGCAAATGGTATGATCTGGAGTACAGCAATGAATATTCTTTGGATCCCCAGTCTCAGGATGTTGTGTCTAAGTACAAAACCTTGGCTCAGAAATTGTATGAGCATGAAATCAACTTATTCAAAAATAAGACAAATAACCAAAAGGGAGCTTCTTCTACCTGGATGAAGACAATTGTGTCATCAGGGACGCTAGGTGACAGGATGGCAGCCATGATTCTTCTTATTCAGGATGATGCTATTCACACACTCCAGTTTGTAGAAACTCTCGTGAACCTTGTTAAAAAGAAGGGTAGCAAACAGCAGTGCCTCATGGCTTTGGATACTTTCAAAGAATTACTCATTACAGACCTTTTGCCAGACAGTCGGAAGCTACGGATTTTCAGCCAGCGTCCCTTCAACAAACTAGAGCAGTTGTCCAGTGGCAACAAGGACTCAAGAGATAGAAGGCTGATATTATGGTATTTTGAACACCAGCTGAAACACCTTGTGGCTGAATTTGTGCAGGTCTTAGAAACTTTAAGTCATGATTCATTAGTAGCAACTAAAACTCGAGCTCTTGTTGTAGCTCATGAGCTTCTTTGTAACAAACCTGAGGAAGAAAAGGCTCTTCTTGTGCAGGTGGTAAATAAACTGGGAGATCCTCAGAACAGAATAGCCACCAAAGCCTCCCATCTGTTAGAGACATTGCTTTGTAAACATCCCAATATGAAAGGAGTTGTATGTGGCGAAGTAGAAAGGCTGCTCTTTCGCTCAAATATCAGCTCCAAAGCGCAATATTACGCAGTTTGCTTTTTAAATCAAATGGTCCTTTCCCATGAAGAATGTGAATTAGCTAATAAGTTAATTACTCTTTATTTTTGTTTTTTCCGGACTTGTATCAAGAAAAAAGATGTTGAATCAAAAATGCTTAGTGCCCTTTTAACAGGAGTAAATAGGGCATACCCTTATGCCCAGACTGGTGATGACAAAGTGAGGGAGCAGGTCGACACGCTCTTTAAAGTGTTGCACGTTGTGAATTTTAATACCAGCGTACAGGTTTTAATGTTGCTTTTCCAAGTAATGAATTCTCAGCAGACGATATCAGATCGATACTATGCAGCATTATATAGGTAAGTACATTCCATTTTGATAGGTGAATGAGGAATAACATGATTTAATAATAACATGATTTAATACACAGCACCTACTGTGCCCCTCTATGGGGCAAGAAACTTAGAAAACTGGAATTTAGGCCCCCCTCAGGAACTTGCTAATCACCAACTTTGAGTAAGTCACTAATCTTTGTTTTCCTGTTGGAAAACTATGTTAAATATTTTGCATACATTACTTTATTTTTTGTTTTGAGAACTTGCTAAAATACAGAAAAATACCCTCCCCCAAAACATCCATATCCTACCACCTAATATTTCAACCTTAACATTCTGCTATATCTGTTTTAAATCTTTCAAATATTAAAAAATTAGAACTGCAGATATAATTGAAGTTTCTTTCAGTCCCTTCCCCATCACTCACATCCTCAGTCCTACATTTCCTCCCCCTGTCCTTCACACAGCCATTTAGTAATTCAACAGCAATTTTTTGAGTGCCATCTATATGCTGGAGATTTGCAGTGCTCTGGATATAGCAGTGAACAAAATTCCTACCCCTAGAGTTGCTTACACTCATATTGAGGAAAACAGATGGTAAACAAGAAAGTCTGTTAGGGAGGGTTAGGGTTGCATTTTTGGAATTTTTTTAATTATTGGGATTAAGATTTTGTTCATTGAATTTTGTTGTTGCCCTGACTCATACCTATTGAGGGATGATATTTTGAACAGTGTGTAAACACTTTGGAACTGTTTTAGTATACCAACAAGCTATATATTTTCTAATTCATTTTAATAATTTTACATAACATATATCTTGTGAGAAATATAATGTACTGATTAATATCTTGAACTTAAGCCACAGTGCCTGGATTTGAGTCTCAGCCATTAGTTTGCTGTGTAACTTTGGACAAATTACTGAATCCTCTTTAAAGCCCTATTGGTAAACACGATTAATCCCATTTTACTGTGGCCCAGTTGTTTATAAAATGAAGAGGAGTGCACCTATCCTGTAGGGTTATTGTTACAATTATAAAACTTCCCAAGGTTGCATAGCTAAAAAATGAGAAAACTGGGACTTTACTGAGTTCATGTGTATGTTAACCCATGTAATCTTCATATGTAAAGTGTTTAGCAGTGCCTCATGCACAGTAAGTGCTCGGCAGGTGTTGGCTGCTATTGTTATTATTACTCCGATGAATTTCTTAAGCTTATTCCTCTTAACACTTCTCCAGT